ACGGACCTATTCTGTGCACTTGACGGATTTGTTAAATTCTTTAATAAAATTGTGCTTCTTGCCACACTACGGTGTAAAGTGTTTTGTATAGGATCATTCATTAATTGAACAAAAAGACTTTGAACCATCTGAGTTTTAAACGTTATGGTCTAATCTAATAAATTATTAGGGACGCTACTTCCAACAAGAGGAATTAAACGTTCTCTTTGGACGACTTATTGAAATATATAAACCAATACTAAATTTAATTTAATTTCTATAATATATAGAACATAAAACCATACCTATTGTTTCATTCAACATTTTCGAAGTTTAAACACTTGATATATGATTAATAGGTCATCGGAGTGGTCAACATTGAATGTAATAGAATAAGCATAGTGCAAGCATAGATCACTTATTAAACGATATACTTATGTAAAGGACTTCTAAAGACCAATTAAATAATATATAATATTGAAATTTCATGTACGAATAAAACGTATGATATTCGAGTATTTTATATATATATATCTGAATATAGCGAGATATGAACTGATATATTATAACTGAGTAAAATGCACTATGTGGAATATATTGTATATAGGATGAAGAATAAAGTATATATGACTATTTTAAAAACTCACATATATAAACTTACTTTATATAATCTCTAAAAAGTATGCATGGTCGTATTGAACAAAGATGACACTCAGTTTTGGTTAAACAGGTACATCAACAAATCAGAAATTGATTAATTTGGTCTAAATAACAGCTAAGTCTTATTTTTTGAGATGCCATTATTTTAAAGGGGAGACTATCCTTTATGCCTTATGGTATGCTAGCTTTATTGATCCATACTTCTTTAATAATGCTATTAGTCCAAACATAGTTATCGAAGAGAATACTATAATATCATAATTAATGACCCAATTGAATGGTCTGAATTATAGGTACGATAGAAAGTGATTCCTGTTGACTCTGTCATGAGAAGAAACATAAGAACATATTCTAAGCAATTGTCCAGAGGCGGCAAGATGTAGTCTAATTATTAATAAATAATAGGCTATGAATGTACCCGGACCTAAAAGATTTATTGTGCGCCTAAAGGTCCAACTTTACCTATTTTAGACTATTTAAAAATCTTGTAATTACTGTGTGCTAAATTTTACCTATTTGATTTGGGACTAAGGTCCCGCTTCGAAGGTAGTCGAGTCTAAGTCTTGCCGCCGCTGGGCAGTTGCATAGAATATGTTCTGATGTTTCCTTCTCCTCATGACAGAGTCGACAGGAGTCACTTTAGGCGCACAATAGATCTTTTAGGTCGGGGTGCATTCATAGTCTACTTAATAATAATAATCATAATAATAATAATAATGAATGGCGTTAATTCGCAATAATTTTTTTTATATTAAGACCATTGAACAAAGTGACGACACAATTGGTTTATGACAGAAAACATACGATAAGCGCATAATTTCATATAGTGGTTCTGTAAATCTCGAAACAGTAATGTAATATCACTTTGCTGAATTATTTTCTATGCGAATTAATAAAGTTATTGGCTCAATTAAACGAACAAAAGACATTGGAAAGGGTTTTTTTTCCTTTAAAGCATTTTTTAAAATAAATATATAAATATATAGAAGACTTCTAACGTGATATTCGTAGAGTTATTGTCGACATATGGGCTTAACAATATGAAGGTTGCCTTTCAATTAATCGTTAACAGTTCATAAAATATTTTGCATCTTTATAAACCTTCATTAAGAGTTTTGCTACAAGTACTACACCTAATTTTTTGTATAAAAGATTTAAAATTGAATTACTCCAAAAAATTGCAAAAATATCCTGTGCTATTTTTCAAACAAAATTAAATAGCAAAATATCTTTGTTATATTTTTTTTAAAAAATCAAGCATTAATGCATTCAACTAATTATTAACTAATGGAAAGAGAGTTTAAATACACAAAATCTTTGTAAATATTTCGTGCTTTTACGGTATCAAATTTCGCTTTCACATTGTTGCTTTTATATATTTTTGATTATACTGTTTGTTTTTATGGTTTCTATTCTCATTATCTGAAAACTTAATACGAAACGACAAAAGTGCAAACTTCTGCTACAGGTATTTTGCCCAAAATCAATGAAAACCAAAATATTTGCAGCACAAAATGCACTGCAAATATCGTCAGTAACATCAAAACATCACAGTAGCAGAACAACAGCAACAACAGCAACATCAGCTGGAAAAAATGCTGAACGACGAGTACTAACTGCAAACATGGATGGAATCTCAGTTTGCCTGCACAAAAGCAACTTAACGGTTAATATTGTAAAAAAGTATATTTCTACTCATACACATGCATACACACATATACTGGGTGTTTTTTTATTAAAGTACATTTGACTTCGGGAGGTGATATCTTAAGCCAAGATATGAAAAAGTCAAAAGTGGTTAGCATCCATTTTAAGTATTTATCCAGATATAGAAACTCTACACAAACAAAAATTTAATCAAAAAATCTTCAATATCTCAAAAAATAATAGATCCTAATTACTTGAAAAGTACAAAATTTTTAATCCATAACATCCATTAATTTTACATCCAAAAAATATGTTTAAATGGATATGAAAATTATAGTGAAAAATTGCTGTATGGTCAACCAAAAATCCTTGAATTATAAAATAATAAAATTTTATCGTTCTAATTCAGACCTTTTCAAAATACCTCTCTATTGAAAACAATATTTTATATTAAGAACTTAATATAAATCAATAAATCAATTTAATAGTGTAATATTAATTTTTTTTGGAAAATGTCTATTATTTTTGCCAAAGATCTCATTTTTCTGAAACTGATTTAATCTATTTTTATTTTGTTACTTTATTTCTATATCTTATTATTTTATAAATATATTCTGCAAATGAATTTTTCTTTTTTCAGGTACCGCTTCTCTGCAACCGCCCTTTGAAGTTCGCAACCTTGCGATTTCTTCGAAAAAGGGCACACCAGTGCGTATGAGTAATTATTAAATTTCCTGCATTTTTGCATACTATTGCTTTCATTCCTGAAACCAGTAGTGTGCTTGCATTATAGATCGATTAAGGAAAAAAGTTCAAGATAATATGAAAATTTTTCAAAATTAATTGTTTAGAAGTTAGTAAGGTAGTGAAAAAAAAATTAATAAAATAAAATTCTCTACGAATTTTGAAAGAAATAACTGTTGTAAATTTAATATTATTATGTTAGAAAATTTTCTAAAAAAACCAACTTTCAAGCATCATAATTTTTGAACCTATTTAAGTAAAAAGGGTTTTTGAAAATCTAAACCAAGTCTTAATCCGAACCCGTTTAAGTAGAAAGGACTTTTAAGTAAAAATCTAGTCTAAACCAAGTTTTAATCCGAACCCATTCAAGTAGAAAGAACTTTTAAGTTAAATCTAGTCTAAGTCTAAACGCATTTAAGTAGAAAGGACTTTTAAATAAAAATATAATCTAAGTCTGATCCCATTTAAGTAAAAACGACTTGCGAAGGTCTAAACCAAGTCTTAATCGGAACCCAATTAAGTAAAAAGGATTTTTAAGTAAAAATCTAGTCTAAGTCTAAACCCATTTAAGTAGAAACAGCTTTTGAATATATAAACCAAGTCTTAATCCGAACTCGTTTAAATAGAAAGGACTTTTAAATAAAAATCTAGTCTAAGTCTGAACCCATTTAAGTAGAAACGACTTGTGAAGGTCTAAAGTGGAAAGGATTTCTAAGTAAAAATCTAGTCTAAGTCTGAACCCATATATGTAGAAAGGACTTGTAAAGGTCTAAACCGAATTTGAATCCAAACCCGTTTAAGTAGAAAGGACTTTTAAATAAAAATCTAATCTAAGTCTCAACCCATTTAAGTAGAAACGACTTGTGAAGGTCTAAACCAAGTCTTAATCGGAACCCAATTTAGTCTAAGTCTGACTCCATTTAAGTAGAAAGGAATTTTGAATTTAGGAATTTAGTAAACTCCTTTGTTTTTATTTTTTTATGTTTATTGCTACGACTATTTACATTCTAAACTACGAGTAGCTTGTATCTGATCAATAATATAAATACATTAATAAGCAATTTTCTACACAAATTACTCTACATTCTAATTCGATACCTTGTCAGCGACATTTCCCCATTTTAGTCGTCTTGGTTGTCCATACGAGGCATCTGTATTTACATGTTGCTGCTACCTCAGTATGTGACTTGTTGCTTTCTTTTTGATTTCTTCAGCGACTCAGGATAATTTAAGATCGCGGTGTATATCGCTGTACCTAATGTACCATTGGCGCTTTTAAAATGCATTATTTCGAAGTTACAAGTTGGTACGTGATGTAAGTTTTTTATTTAGGCGTTTCTGGTGTCCGAAAGATTTTTCTAACAGATTAAAAAATTTTAGAAAGACACCAATTTTTTTTTTGCTATAAAATATTTGCTTTATCTATTTTTTTTGGTATATAGACGGTTTTCCTGACTGCATAAACAATTTAAGAGAGTACCAACTTAGAGGCCTCACAATTTCTAAACACATTTTAAAATGAATTTAATGACTAAAATTTTATTTATAATCCAATGGAATCAGGCATTTTTTTTTCTGTGTTTAAAACTCTGCTGAAAGTCCTTTATCTTGATAAATTTTGAAAATAACCCTCCTTTCCATATAAATTTTAACCTTTTCTGGATCACTTCGATCCAGTAAATGTAGTACTTTTTTAAGAAACACCCTGTATACATATAAACTTGTATATATGCAAGTAACAGTCTAAGGCAACTACAAAACATACTAGGAGAATATAAAATATGTAACCACTAAAAACTACCGAACACCATTGAACCGCCATTAAATGGTTTAGGTGTGTGAGAAAATACGGAGCTACCGGAAATCGACATGGGAAACAGCAGCAACAGCATTAACAGCAGAAAAATGAGAAAAATCAAAAGGAAAATTGCATTCGTGGAAAACTTAAACTAAATAACAACAACAACAGTTACAGTAAAAGTGTACGTAAAAGAATCAAGCAAGCGTAACTGATACGGTGAAGTGTCACGGTTGAGTTGTTTCCCGCCCGCATTAGTGCCGTTAGAATTTTTCCCGCAAAAAAAAAAATCGAAAAAAATCCAAAAAATGCTGAGGAAAAAAAGTGAAGAAGAGAACAGAAAAACAATAGAAACAGAACGGTATGCGAAGATGGTGTTGAAACAAATCGGTCAAAATTCGCAAACATGCGTCGGCAAAGTGTAGTATAGTCTCGCACAGTGAGGAAGTATTCCACCAGTCATTGCAATATAGAAAATGGACGAAGATGAATGTGGAAACAGGGGAAAAATACGTCAAGAAGAAACTTAAAAGAAAAGTTTCTTTCA